AATGACTCGAACGTCGGCCCGACTCGAAAACCCCAACCCTACTGTTCTTGGTTAAGTGGGTTTCGTGATTAAATAGAAAGAGTGCTTTCCCTTAAAAATTCAAAAAAATCCCCCAAACCTTTTAGTTTCCTTTTTCATTTTTTGTCCTTTTTCAACATCAGTTAAAGTATGTATTTTATATCCAGGCAATATATTAACAAAAACTTCAGATAAAGTAGCTGTTGCAAGTTTTTGAATATCTTCACGGATTAAAGGTGTCAAGTCTTCTCCAAAAGCCATTTTTAATAAAATACGAAATTTTGAAATCTTTAAAAAATTTGAAAAAAATTTAAAATTAAAATCAAAACGTTTTCATTTGGATCAGCAATTATTAGTTCTGCATTTGTTAAAATTTTTATTTTCGCTTCTTCTACTAATTTTGTATAAAGTTCTTTCAATTGTTGATCATCCAAATTTGTTAAATTTGGAAGTGAAGCTTTAAAAAATTAAATTAAAAAATAATTGTTAATTTTGAAGATATATTTAAAGAAAATGCAAAAAAGGCCGCAAAAATTTTTAAGAAAAAATTTCAAAATGCCCAAAGAATTTTTTTTCAAAAAAGTGTGTATTTGTGTAATTTTCCAAAATTATTTTTTCACAGATTTTTTACACAAATTCGGATTTTCTTAAAAAAAATTTTTGCAGCCTTTTATGCATTAAAAAAAATTTTTAAACATTTTTAGCATAAATATTCAGAACTTGTTCATTTTTATAAAATCAACAAAAAAAAGTAAGAAAATGACAGAATATCCCAAGGGGTATAATTTTCTAAATAAATAATTTTTCCAAAGATCATTTTTAATTTTGATAAAATCCTTGATTACTCAAGGATCCTATCAACTAAAAAAGCAAAAAAGTGACAGAATATCCCAAGTTTCCCAAAATAATTTTCCGAAAATCATTCACATCGGGTCACTTAAGGGTACTATTAACTGAAAAGAAATTTTGTATGAATTTTTCCTTTTAAACTCCCTCAAAAATTTTGAATAAAATAAAAAAAACCTTTTCCTTGTTCCCTCCCCTCTTCCTCCATATTTAATTCCATTTCCATTTCTTCCTCAATTTCACCATCATCCTCCACCTCTTCTTCAACATCCATTTTAACTCTATCAATTAATTTTCCACCAATTTTTATAGGTAATAACATTTCTTTTTCTTCTTCGAAACCTCCAAATGATAAAAAATGTTTTTTAATTTCTTCCAAATCCATCTCCTCATTTTCGTCTTCTTCCTTTTCCTTTTGTTGTTTAACTACTTCTTTGTATTCCTCTTCTTCATTATCGCTATAATTCGAATCAGAATCATTTTGACGCATTTCTCTATCACGTAGCCAATCATTTCGAATCTTAAAAAATAAATGGAAAAAATCTAAAGGTGACAAAAGATCCCACAAACTAAAAACTCTAGAAATGACTTTTTCTCAGCCCTTTGAGATTTTAAAAATACTTTAAGAATACAAAGACAAAATTACTTTAGCTTCAAGGTAGAGAATATTCCAAGAACCGACACCAATTAGTAAACAGAAAACCCATTAAAAATAAAAAATTAAGGTGGCTCAAGGATTAGAAAATGTTTTACCTTAACACTTGGAGATCTTGTCCAATTATTTTGTAAGCATAAATATCCCGAAAAGCCACTAAAAATACAAAAAACAGGGAAATATAGCCGAACCTAATCTTAAATATTTTCGTCATCTAAAACCCCTTAAAACCCCAAAAAAAAATTAATTAAAAACCTTGTCGAATCTTCCATTACTTTTACTCTGCCTCGCTTGCCGAACTTCAATTATTTTATCCTTTGCATATTTTCTCAATTTTCCACGTCTTGCCGATTTTGAAAATTTTCTTTGAGTTTTAATACGTTGACGTTTTGCTTTTTTTGTTGTAGCAAGTGGTTTTTTCATTTCTTTTTTTTCTAAAAAAATTCTAGATTAAAGCGCTTTCCTTTTAAAAAATAATTAATTAGAGATCATTAAACTCTCTCACAAAAAATTTTAAAAATCCAAAAATATAAACAATCGCCATATTTATTTATTAAAAAATTAATAAAAATCCCTGATCTGTGAAAAATTGAAAAAATACAATCAAATTGAAAAAAATAGTAAAAAATTTCCAAAAAAATTTGGAAGAATCACATTATTTCCCCCACAACCAGACAAGAAGTATAATTACCAGTAAATTAAATTAATGAAAAATCGAAAAATAAAGAGGGGAACAGGCAATTATTTTTGTGAAAAAACAGATGCTTTATAGCACCAAAGCCATTGACCATTGTAAAATTTTTGGGACAGATAGGAACCAAAAAAATAATTTTACAAAAAAGAAGGGGAGGAGATAATGCGATAGTATTATCAAAAATTTGTAAAAAAATTTACAGGCTTTTTGTGTGCAAAAAATGCAAAAAAATGTCAAAAAAACCTTCTCTCTCTCATTGCTTCTGTAAAAAATTTTAAAAACAGTCATCTTCATATTCTTCCTTTTTAAGTACAAATTCATTTGCTCTACATCTATATTGAAATTCTGTGCGTAATTTCATCAATAAATTTCCCATTTGATTTGAACCTTTCCAATTATCTATGCTTTTTATTTCTTCACCATGCAGACTACAACCAATTCCTTTTTAATAGGAAAAAATTAAAAAAATTTTTTGGTTCAACTTTTCTATTTTTTCTCTTTTCCCCTAATTTTACTTCCCCAGGAAAAGCCGAATCTATCATTAATGTAAGGGGAAATAACTATCTTCGTGGAATATGTACCAAAAATTAATCCCTAAACAAGCCAAAAAAATTCGCCACAAGATGGAATTGAACCTTCGACCTTACTATAACGAAACACAAACATAACCCACTACACCAAAAATATAAAAAATTTCTAACCAGTAAGAAACCTAGGCAAAAAAAGTCAAGAAATAGGAAAAAGAGGGGATTATGCTTAAAACCCCTAAAAAATTCCACAAAATAAAAAAAAAAGAAATAAAAAAAATATATACCCCAAAACGTATCTGTTTGACTCGCTTCAATAAGTAAAGCCTCTTCAGTTTCAATAAGCATATTAAATAATTGCACATTTTGTTCAAATTTTGCACGTAATCCTGTAAGCATCACCTTCAAAAAAAATTTTTAAAAATTATTTTCTCACAAAAATTAAAAAAAAATTCAACCAACATTTCTTTTAACTTTTCTCCATTTATCATGGTCAAAATCTCTACATTTTAATTCTGCTCCATTTGCTTGTCGTTGCCTCATTGTATCCGCATTTCCAAGTCTTTTGATAGTTGATGGGTCATTGGTTAACATTATTTCTTTGGCAAGTGAATGATAATCAAAATACATTGCTTTCATATACATGTAAAACTGTTCGGAGCAACAATATTCGACTCCTTAAAAAAATTTTTTTTAATCACAACCCACTACACCACAATATCAAAAAATTAAATAAAGACAAATAGACGTTCAAAAAAATTTTTTAAATTAATTTAGTTACTCTTCTGGTAGTTTTTGGAAATATTTAAGTCTTAAAAATAAAAAATAATAATTTTCAAAGACGTGGAATCGAACCCTCGACTATTTTACAAGAAAGCACAAACACAACCAACTAAACCAAAAATTAAGAAAATTTAAAAACTCACTTAAAACCCAAGAAATATTTTTTTCAATAATTAATGTTAAAATTCAAATGACCTCCAGTCCTCAGAAATTCCCAAAAAATCATTTCCTCCTACAAGGAATCGAACCTACAACCCCTCTACACAAAATCACAACCACGATCCACTACACCACAAATTTAAAAATTTTAAACTCGCTCAAAAACCAAAAAATATTTTTCCAATAATTATTGCTAAAATTTAAATGATTTCCAGTCCCCAGAAAATCCAAAAAAATCATTTCCGACTCTATGGAGTCGAACCTTCAACTCCCTACAGAAAATCACAACCCACTACACCATAATATCAAAAAATATAAAAATTAAATAAAAACTAACCGTCAATTTCTATTGGTTTTGGAGTCAAAAAATGATTACTGAATGCAAATTTTTTTGTAAAGAAGCATAGAAAGTCTTGGCCACAGTGAGTTGTTAGACAAATAGGATATGGAGGGGTAAAGTTTTCTAATTAAAAAAAATTTTTTTTGAAATTTTTAAAATTAAAAAAATACAAAACTGCATTTATTTGACACACGCGGCAAACGAACGTTATCAGAATTTCCTTTCATGACTATTATTGAGTTGGCATCTATTTTTGAAGGGGAAAATAAAAAAAATTTATTTTTTTTTCGGGTTAGTTTAATAACTAAAAAATTTTTTTTAAAATTAAGAAAAAAAATTTTAATTAAAAAATATATATTAAGCGAAAAAACGCTTCAGAAAAAAAAAACAAAAAAATATATATAATTTTAATATTCATCATTTTAATAAAAAAAAAAGAAAGAAAAGTGTGTAGTGCCACAAAAAAAAATTTTTTTTAATAATATTGAGCAGTAAAACAGCACGAAAAAAAATAAATATAATAGGTATAATAAATGAAAGAAACAAGGGGACGAGAATCAGTGAATGGATAAAATAATTAATTTAAAAAAATCGGATCAGGGTGGAAAGCAAGAAGAAAATAATTTGGTTCAGGTCGAGTCGACGAGTCCAAATAGATCTTTATGATTTTATCAAAGGTGACCAACTAAAGCCCAACTTTTCTCCCATAATATAAAAAAGAAGGGAGAACAGAGCTCCCAATAGACTGATAAATTCAGTCCGATGAAAGGTTCAATGAACTCATAAACTAGACCAAAGCCAAAAAATTTTTCCGGCAATTTATAATAAAGCCAAAAAACCCCCAAAAAATTCAATAAAATTTTTAAGCCCCTCCAATCCGATTTTTTTAATTAAAAATTTTATCCATTTTCTCTACAAAACCCGCTCAAAACTATCTTATCAAATCATTGATTTATTACTTTTTAAACATATTTTTTTTCACTCACCGCGAAGCATAAACGAGTAGACAAGTCCAAGTATAGTTATAGAAAATAATTTCCATTCCGTCTTTAAATTAAAAAAATTTTTTTATTTCGAAAGAATTAAAAAAAAACCTTAGGAAAATATGCATCCCACTTAATTCTACCATCACAATGCTTGGAAGCTCGAATTTTATCATCAGATTCTGTCAACACCAAAACTTCGTTTCCTTTGCGGAAGATAAAAGAACCCCTGAAAATTTTTAAAAAATTTTTTAAAAATCGAAAAAAAATTTTTTCTTACTCATCAGGACGACTTTCATGAGACATTTTTTGTTTATTAGCTTCATTACGTAACCATTCAACTTTATCTACAAGTAACCATTCAGAATCAATTTTAATGTTCTTTTGAGGTGAGTTGAAAGTACTTGCATTGTTGTTCTGTTGTTGCTGATTTATTGAACTACTTGAGAATGTTGACAAATGACGTGTAGAAGAAGTGGGCTGTTGTTGAGGTTGTTGCTGTTGTTGTGAAGGAAGAGATGAGTTAAACATAGGAGTTGAATTGTTGTTTGTGCTGCATAGAAAAAAAGATTTAGAGGCCGGCCGACAACTATTTTTAAGAAACTTATCAAGTAAACTAACAAGGGTTGTTAGTAAAGATTCACCGGAAGTTCCGGTGTTTTTTGGCTCCGGTTTCGGTCAAAATTTCGGTTCCGGTGAAACACTAGTTGTTAGAAACACTAGTTATCTCAATTTAAAGATATTAACCGTTTATTTTCAGTCCTCAAATTTTTCCCTTTTCCCAATTTCGCGGGAGTAGGAAAAAGCTTTAGCCCCAAAAGCCCCCCGGCTACTCCCTTGTCAGATAGGTATCTCAAGTAATGGGCCCTATCCATACAAATATATAAAAATAAAATTGAACCTAATTCCTCCTCTTCCTTGTTGTTCAACACGTCCACCACCAAAAATATTCTCGACACTTTTCTCCTTCTCCCTTGGCTTTTGCTGTTCATTAAATATATTATCATCCTCATCATATTCATCAGACGAATAATTAACAGGATAACGCTTTATTTTTGGCTTAAGCGAAGATGGGGTTGGCTGTTGTTGTGTTGTTGCTCCTTCCATTTTTTTCTGTTCAACCTTGAAAAATTTAAAAAAGCTTGAAAAAATATTTTTCTAATTAAAAAACCTTCTCTTGCATAAACTTGTGAATACCAGCACGATGACCAGACAAACGTGGAGGAGGAACAAATGTAGTGCTACTGGAAATGGTTGCAGGTGGAAGTACAGGTTGAGGCACAAAAGATGTCTGAAAAATTTTGTTCCTTTTCGGTTATATTCCCTAATAAGTCTGCGAATTTTGTCGGAATCATATTTTTGTATCTTTTAGTATGAAAATAATAGACTGAGTTTATGGCAGAACAAACCAATTTTTGTGTTTAAACGAGCGAACGCGTCAACATAAAAATTATCGAACCAGAAAATCCCCGGTCAAAAAACGTAAAGACTTCCCGATTAACGGGAATCAAGACGGACCCTTTCCCTAGTTCAGAACCAAAAAAAATTCAAAAAATATATTTAAACAAACCAAATTTTCTCCATCAGATTTTTGGTTGGAAATCACATTTTGTTGTCCTTCACTTGCTGGACGTTTAACTGACACAATTTCATCCTCATCATCACCACTCTCTTCAGAATCGGTGAAGTCTTGGCCAACAATACGAGAAGTATAACGAGTCTTTTTCTTCGAAAAAAATTTTCAAGAGTAGGACGAGCCCGGTTAATAACCTCAATTATTTTTCCATGTGGCGGGTTTTTTCTCTCTTTTCCATTCTCTCTTCTCTTTTTGATCCGTCACAGGGAAAAATAATCGAGACCATTAACTGGGCTCGTCATACTCTAAATTTTCAGCCTAAAAAATTTCCAAAAAAACCTTGTTATCATTTTCAACAGCTTCTCCTTCCACAACTTCATTTTTACCATTATTTACATTTTGATTTATAGGAGTGTCCAATCTCGACGGTTTTTCCATTCCACCTCCAGCAGTTCCTCCTCCACCAGTTCCACTTCCTCCTACACCAGCACCAATTTCATAAGCTGGAACACTACTTTCTTCTTCCCAACCTTTTCTATTATACTTCACTGTAATCTTTCTTTCTTCAGCAATATCAGCTTCTTCATCATTTATCATTTCTGTAAATGATTGTTTTTTGGTTGATGATAGGCCAATTTCTTCTGGGGAAATATCGAATTTTGACCTAGAAAAAAAAGAAAAATATTTTTTGATGTTATCTTTCCATCAAAAAGGTTCTTTCCTCTCATAAAAGAAAAAATAAAATATAAGAGATATAGGAGTCAAGGTCAAAATAATAAAAAAATGTTTTCCTTTGAAGGTGAATGACCAAAGGAAAAACAATTTTCAGTACTTTTACGTTATGGGGCCACACATTTTAAAAATGAACATTCCCTAAAATGCAAAATATAAATTAAAAAAAATATTTCCAAGTCTGGTCAATTTCTATCTGCATAAATTATACCTATCGGGGGAAAGGGTTGTCTCAACGGGGCCCCATAAACTTATCGCAAAAACAAAAATATTGAATAGAAAATTATCAAAAAATAGTAATAAAGTGAGGAAAAGCAATGAGAGACATTTGACCACAAAGTAGATGAGCGAAGAAAAAATAAAGAGGGAAGGCTAAAACCCATTTTAGCAAAGATTCAATATCTCACCCTCAACATAAACCAAAGAAACAAAAAAATACTTTTTAGGTGCAGCATTAGAAGTAGTCGGCAAACTTGGTTGATTTGAGGTAGAAACATTATTATTAACATTATTTGTCTGCCCACCAGTAGTTGGAACATCCAAAGATTTTTTAGTAGGTTGAGCAGGTGGCGGTGGCGGAACAAAAGTAGGATAAAGAGGGCCAGTTGGAAAAACCTTTTAAAAAAATTTTTAATGGGACATTTGATCCCAACCAGTAAAAAAATTTTTTGATGAGACATTTGATCCCAACCAGAAAAAATTTTTTTAATGAGACATTTGATCCCATCCAGAAAAAATTTTTTAATGAGACATTTGATCCCATCCAGAAAAAATTTTTTAATGAGACATTTGATCCCATCCAGAAAAAATTTTTTAATGAGACATTTGATCCCAACCAGTAAAAAAATTTTTTAATTTTTCAAACCTTTGGTTGTTTAGGATAATTCCCCTTTGGACGCAAAGCTCTTCCAGCAACATTCTTCATTTGGGCTTTAGCTTCATTATGATTTTGTAATTCTGTCTCGTAGTAATTTAAAAGATCTAAAAAAAATATTTTTTTAAATAAAAATCTTAAAAATTCCAAAAAAACCATTGTACGGCATTTTTAATTGTAAGAAAAAATGTCCAGGCAAATTAGCTTGGAATAATTTCAATTCATAGTTAAACAGCGTCTCAAGGATTTTGATAGCCTTGTCTCGTGTAAACATGCGTTTAAGAGCCTAAAAAATTGATAAATAAGCGCATTATTGGCAAACGGTTAGCCACAAGGAAAGGTTACCCAGTCGCCAACAATCCTAGTTAAAATGGCAAATGTCCGCAACTTTTATCCGAAAGTTTTATGAGCACCTTTAAGTAAAATAGAGTGGAGGTGATATAAAAAAATGTGTGATTTGTGAGAGGTTATCTTAACGGATAAAAGTTGCGGTCTCTTAGATCCATGGTCAAGAATCAGAAAAACTTTCAAATAAGTTCTTGATTGCCTTACAAATGTAAATTTGTTACATAAAGGTAAATCCGTTAAAAATCAATTTTTTAGATAAATAATAAAAATCTTTAAAAAAACCTCTCCAGCCAATTCCTCATTATATTTTTCTTTATATTTCTTCTGAACTGATGTCCAACTAACAGGGTTATCTTGTCCTCCCAATTCATAAATCAATTCCGAAATTAATTTGCGTCCTTTTAATGTAGCCTCTCTATTTTCTGGTAAAAGTGCACGACATAATTTTTCATTTTCTTCCCGAGTTTGACTTTAAAATTGAAAAATAATTATTTAATAACATAGGTTATCCGCAAAAAATTTTTTGAGGATATATTTATGCGGACTAGAGACCGGCACGGGATTTTGCGAAAGTGCAGGATCTTGCGGAATTTATCCCGCAGGATCCCGTCCCGCAATGATTTTAAAAAATCTCGGATTTTGCCGGTCTTAATGCGGATTCATAATTATAATGGTCTCAAAATGGTCAGAACATACATACTTTTCCATTCTCCATTCAAATACACTCGAGGAAGTAATGACTGCTAGGGGAAATATTGGGTATATTATCCTTCTTATTTCTGACCATTATGAACCCGCACAAATATGTCCACAAAAATCCGGTTTGGGATAACCCACAAATACTAATTAGTTAAAAAAATTTTTCAATTCAAAAAAAAATTTTTTTCTTACGCCAACAAAGTCGCAGCTCTCTCAATTTCCTGCTCATTCCGTATATGGGCAAATCTTTCACAATTTTGCGGCAAAAAACAATGCTTTCCTTCAATTATTTGCAATCTTACATAATCCTTCATCATTTCAGATTTCATAAAAGTCTCAAAATTTGGAAAGCCATAATGTGCTACAACATAATCAGGCAAAAGTCCAGTATCTTTTCTTCAAAAAAATTAAAATGAAATAAAAGTAGTAAACAGGATAAACATGGATAGATTGGAAATGAACCATAAACCCGGATTTACCTGCAATCCGCCCCAAACAATTCTCAAAAATTCAGCCCAACTTTTTCTTAAGCCTGTACATTCCTAGTAGTTACCCCTACGAGTCCCGTTAGTTTTTTATAATTCCCTCACTAGTGAAGGACATCGCCTTTTTGGATGTCTATGGAGCCACAGACTATTAAATAATTCAAATTTACAAACCTCAAATCTTCTCTGAGTTCATGCACATTGCAATAACCAATAGGCTGTGAAGCAGAACACTTTTAGTTTATGTTATACAATTTTTAAAAAATTCTCTTATGGACAAATTATATCATTCGGAAGATTTTCGAATCGGCCATGTCAAGGACAAAGGTTTAGTTCAGAATCATCGAAACAATGAGAATTAGGTTCATTCGACTCATTGTCAGCTTGAAAACGTCTTTTCGAATTATACAAATTTGACCATAAAGAAACCTTTTCCCACTTTATTGTATCACGTTAACTAAATAAAATACCTTCGAAGCCACCGTGTAAACAACTTCTTTTGCAAAATCAGTAAATGGCACATTCATCATACCATAATTGACGTTATCATTGTTAATTGTTGGATCTTGAGGAGCTGGAGTTGAAGTATTGGGGTCGCTGAAAATAAAAGTTTTACTTAAAAATTTTGTAAATTTATGAGCCCGTTTCTATCAATTTTAGAATCGAGGCTTAATTTAGAGTGATTTTTAACAGATAAGTTACAAGTGATGTCAGGTTTGAACAAGGGTAGGACACACAAGGGGGTGAACAAGGGTAGGCCGAAAAATGGCACGTACAGAAACTGGAGCACATTAACCCCGATTTCGATTAATCCGAGTTTTAAAAACCATGTTTTAGGTTTTGAGTTTTGGTCAAATACCGGTTTTATGTTGGGATTCAAACACAGATTTGAAAAGGCGAATATGCCCAGTGAAAACCTATAGGAAATCCGGAAAACGGCACGACAGAAACTGAAGCACACAAAGGTAAAATACCCACTAGTTTTCTCCCCCCACAAATAAATTAAAAAAAATAAACCCGAAAATATCGTCCTCTTCATCAGGCATAGGAGGCATTCTATTCAAACCAATTTCATCATCTTCCTCCTCCTCCTCTTCATAATTGCCAAAATGTCTACTAGGCGGTCCAGGTGGTAACAGGCCCAAATCATCTTCTTCTTCATCATCCCCAAACCCCAAATCATCATTCTCATCGTTAACTTCCACTCCATAATCTAATCCAATATCTTCTTCATCCTCCACATAATTATTGTAATTTGTAGTTGATACGTGCCGATAACTGCTACTTGGATCAGCTGGCAATTCAGCATCAAAAAATGATTCTGACCTTGCCATTATTGATTAAACTTTATTTAACAAACAAAAAATATCCTAGAAAAACAATGAAAGATTGAATGAAATAAGTAAAGTTATACCCCGAATCCTGCGGAAGGGGGGGGGGGAGCGTTGGAGGATAACTGACAGAATAACACTCACAATTTACTGTCAGTCATACTCCAAGCTCCCAGAAAAACGTGCCCTCAGGATTCGGGGTACAACCATAAAAATAAGAAAAACAAAAAAAATTTCGAGAAAATCCCGAAAAATTCGAAAAAAATTCAAGAAATTCGAAGGAAAACAAAAATTTCCTCCCTATCTCTAATTTAAATTTCGTGTCCGGTTAACTCATCTATTCGTTAACTCATCTACACGGCCAAAAACGTTCAACTCATCTAAACGGCTAAAATTCCTTAACTCATCTACACGTCCAAAAAGGGTCAACTCATCTAATCGTTAACTCATCTATTCGTTAACTCATCTACACGGCCAAAAAGGGTCAACTCATCCAATCATCAACTCATCTAATCCTTAACTCATCTACACGGCCAAAAACGCTCAACTCATCCAATCCTTTGAACGAGACTATTGAGTACCAGTCGTTTGAGTCTCTCGCCGTCTGAGTCTGGTAAGTAGGGTCCATGGCCGTTTGAGTCTCTGGTAAGTAGGGTCCATGGCCGTTTGAGTCTCTGGTAAGTAGGGTCCATGACCAGTTGAGTCTCTGGCCGTCTGAGTCTCTGGCCGTCTGAGTCCATGACAAGTTGAGTCTCTGGCCGTCTGAGTCTCTGGCCGTCTGAGTCCATGACAAGTTGAGTCCCTGGCCGTTTGAGTCCATGACCAGTTGAGTCCCTGGCCGTTAGAGTCCATGACCAGTTGAGTCCATGGCCAGTTGAGTCCATGGCCAGTTGAGTCCCGGCCGTTTGAGTGGTTGATTACCGCCGGTTGAGTCTTGGGCCGGTTGAGACTCAACTGACCAGGGACTCAACCGGCCGATATTTCAAGGATTGGATGAGTTGAGCGTTTTTGGCCGTGTAGATGAGTTAAGGATTAGATGAGTTAACGATTGGATGAGTTGACCCATTTTGGCCGTGTAGATGAGTTAACGAATAGATGAGTTAACGATTAGATGAGTTGACCCTTTTTGGACGTGTAGATGAGTTAACGAATAGATGAGTTAACGATTAGATGAGTTGTATAGGAGCCTTAAATTTGTCTCTCTTATTTTACTATACTCTCTCATAATTACAAAATGTTAAAAAATAAAATTGTCGAAAATATCATTTTTCAAAACACCAAAAAATAAAAATATCCAAAATACTTTTTACGACAAAATGTAACAAGGAAAAATACCGTATAAAATTAACAATTACAGTATGTTTTGACTAGCAAAAAATATTTTTATGAGATCAGAAAGGAGATAGAAATTCAGAATTTTCTGATTAATCAAAAATCAGAATTCTGATGTTAAAAGAAAAGAAATTCTGGTTCTAGAATCAGAAAAATCAGAATCAGAATTCTGATTTTCCCGAAATTCTGATTTTTCCCGAAATTCTGATTTTTCTGAACTTCTGATTTTTTCTGAAATTCTGATTTTCTGAAATTCTGGTTTTTTTTTTGAAATTCTGGTTTTTTTTAAATTCTGATTTTTCTGAACTTCTGATTTTTTCTGAAATTCTGATTTTCTGAAATTCTGGTTTTTTTTTGAAATTCTGGTTTTTTTTTCTGGAATTCTGATTTTCCCGAAATTCTGATTTTTTTGAAATTCTGGTTTTTTTTCTGTAATTCTGATTTCTCTGGAATTCTGATTTTTTTCAGAATTTTTAAACAAAATTCTGATTTTTTCTAAACATAGTAAACGTATGTGGGAACAAAAATAATGTTTGTATATTAATCAATTGTTGTTGCTGTTTTTGTTGCTGCTCTCTTATAAAATAATTATCTATTAAATTTGGTTTTCTTATAAAATTTAAATGTTGTTGCTGACGTTGCTGTAGATCATTAAATTTTTGAAAATAATTATTTTTGGATATTTTACTAATATTATTTGTAAAAGAAAGATGTCTTCGGCTTGTTGTATCATCTTTTTTTAATTAAGAAAAAATTTTTTTTAATTTTTTAAAAAATTTTTGGGCAGATTTTGAGCAGAACTTATAAAGGAGCAGTTATAAATTTGCTGGATTTCTTTCTAGTTTTTATAAATCAGAATTCTGATTTTTATTCTGATTTTTATCAGAATTCTGATTTTTCTAAAATCAGAAATTCTGATTTTTTTCTGATTTCAATCAGAATTCTGATTTCTGTTAAATCAGAAAATTCTGATTTTCTTTCCGTTTAAAATCAGAATTTAACCCAAAAATCCGCAAAAAAATTTTTGCGGACAATATTTGCGGACAAATATTTTTTAAATTTATTTAAAAAACCACCTACTTTTCATTAAATTAACTTTATGTAGCTGTTGTTGTTTATCCAAATAATTATTTTTCTGTAAAATAGAACAACACATTTTTGGATTGTTTAATAAAGGAATATTTCCACAATGCAATTTTGGGTTTGGATTTGATGAATGACGATTCCTTCAAAAAAAATTAAAATTTTTTTTCGATTAAAAAAAGAATTAAAATTTGCCTGCTTCTTCTTGATGAAAACATCATTTGACAACCTTGGACTGTACATCTTTAAAAAAATTTTAAAAAATATTTTTAATAAATTTGTCCGCAAATGTTGTCCGCAAAAAATTTTTTGGAAGAATTTTTTGGTAAAAATCTGATTTTAAAAATTAGAAAAAAAAATCAAAATTAATCTTATTAACCAAAGAAAAAATCAAAATCAGAATTCTGAGAAAAAAATCAAAATTCTAATTTAAAAATTTCAAATCTTTTTTTTTTGCGGACAATATTTGCGGACAAATTTAATTTTTACAAATTTTCGAATTTTCTCGTAAAAATTTCAGGCCATGGAAATGAGGAAATAAAAGACCAAAAAACAGACCCTCGTCCTTAAAGAATTTTCCCCAAAAAATTTTTTTTATCAAACAAACTTGTGCATTTCCTTCAAATGTACAGCACTATTATGTATTTTTAATGCTCCTTTATCACAAAATGTTTTTGAACATTTTTGGCATAGAACACGTTTCTTTTGTAATTTTGACAATTTTTTGAGATTATTTTGTTGTTGTTGTTTATTAGTAAAATATTGAAAATTATTATTAGAAATTTTTTGTCCGCAAATTTTTTGCGGACAAACTTTTTGTCCGCAAAAATTATTTTTTAAATTATTGTTGTTATTTAATAAATATTCTATACTAAATTTTCTCGAAGCAGTAAACATGTACAAATTTTAATTTTAAATACTTGTTGAAAATTCTAAAAATGGAAAATTATTTAGGCAGCTCTACATTTGCGGACACATATTTTTCGGATAATTTTTGCGGACAAATTAAAAATTGAAAAAACAGGTAAACAATCTTGCTCAGCAACGTTTTTTTTAGCTCTAAACCTTATGGTACTAAAAATTTATTTTATTTTAAGATTCTAATTGTAAGAAGCTTGGTGTCCGCAAAAAATTTTTTTGTCCGCAAAAAATTTGTCCGCAAATTTTTTTTTGTCCGCAAAAATTTTTTTTGTCCGCAAATTTACTTTTACTTAATATTCTAATTTTTTAAAATTTTTTAAATATTTACTTACCCAAATTTTACCAGATTAAAAAAGAACAGAATAATTGACCAATAGAAAAATATCCATGCCTCTTTAATATCCCCCCTTTTCTCGTCTCCAAAAAAAAAATTTTGTTTGTGGCCATAGTGGGCGGGAAATTTTTTGTTGGTTGTTTTATTGTTGTTTTTATTGTTGTCTTTTACCATTTTTAGAAGAAAAATGCGACGACGAAGGATGGCATGAAAAATCTCTTTTTTGTCCTTTCATGTCCTCCTTGCCCAAAATTTTTCCTTCCATAGCTAAAAAATGTCGCCTCCTCACAAGAATGCTTACTACTATACTCTCGAGGGACCGCCTTCCACTCTCTCTCTCTCAATTTTAAATTCCCCAATAAACCTCATTTCAAAAAAAAAGGGAAACTGTAATTCGAGAGAAAATGGAGGAAAGAAAAAATCAGAATTTAAATCAGAAATTTTCAACCAAAAAAATAAAAATCAGAATAAAAAGAAATCCCATCCCATAGTTAAAATGAGTCTCTCGTTAAAAGAAAAATCAGAACAAAATCAGAAAATTAAAAAATAAAATCAGAATTTTTAAATACAAATTAGGGTAACTTCCCGAGCCTTCAGGGTCGGGAAGTGTCGGGGATCGGGTTTGGCGGGGAGGGCATGTCGGGGTACGGGGAGCTACCCTAATACAAATACTCATCAAAATAACTTAAAAGCTATTTAAAATTTTCTTTAAAAAATCAAAATTTAATTTTCTTTCTTTTTTTTTTTAAATGCTGCACGCCTATTTAAATTTCTGATTGATATTGTGTGACAGATTTAGTATGTGAATTCTTAAATTTTTTTTAATTTAATGACAGCATCATATATTTTCTCTCTCTATTTAACCAGTCAAACATGAAGAAAATCAAAATTTAATTTTTTCTTTTTTTTTTTTAATTTTCCGTTTCTAATAAAATTGGCACAAAATAAAAAAGGTTATTTTCTGATATAAATTTACATAATCGTTTTGACTCTGTTTTTAGTGTTTGGCTTTAAAAACCGTTAAGAAAAAGCATGTAAATATTTTAAGAAATAAAGCGGATATATTTAAATACTCACTTTATAAAATTGGGGAGGGGTTTTATTGGTCGTAAAATATTAAAAATATTTTTTTGCGGATATTTTTTTGCGGACATTAACCCTATTGCCAAAAAAATTCTTTGATTGTCCCAGGCATAAAAATAAGCCTAGAGGCATTGGCTCCAATTTCGGTTTTTTATTGCTACAATTATAAAATTAAAAAAAATTTTTTTTGCGGACAATATTTTTTGCGGATAATTTTTGCGGATAATTTTTGCGGACAATATTTTGGGGGCATATCTAAATGCAAAAAAAATTTCTAGATAATTCCAGCAAAAAAATAAGCCTAGAGGCATTGGCTCCAATTTCGGTTTTTTATTGCTACAATTATAAAATTAAAAAAAATTTTTTTTGCGGACAATATTTTTTGCGGATAATTTTTGCGGACAATATTTTGGGGGCATATCTAAATGCAAAAAAAATTTCTAGATAATTCCAGCAAAAAAATAAGCCTAGAGGCATTGGCTCCAATTTCGGTTTTTTATTGGTACAATTATAAAATTAAAAAATTCTTTTTGCGGACAATATTTTTTGCGGATATTTTTTGCGGACAATTTTTTGCGGATATTACCCCTATTGCCAAAAAAATTTCTTTGATTGTCCCAGGCACAAAATTAAGCCTAGAGGCATTGGCTCCCATTTTCAATAGGTTTCGGCTTTGTCCGCAAAAAATATTTGTCCGCAAATAAATTAAAAAATTTATTTGCGGATCTTTAAATTTGTCCGCAAATTTTCCTCCAATTTTTGGGTCACATTAAAGAAAAAAATTTTTTCCAACAAAATTTTACCCACCCATTATTTTTCCCTTTTTTTCACACTTTTCAACACATTTTTTAAAGAAATGCCTAGTTACAAATATCCTTCCTTGTGTGATTGTGCCAAGATTAATGGGGGGAGAACTATAGGAAAAATGTGATGACAATGTGCCTTTCTCTCCTGACAGTCACATAAAAAATTTTTTTTCTAGACAACCACTACCCCATTATTTCCCCCAAAAAACACACATTTCTGTCTCCCATTTATTTTTCGATGATTGTTTTTTTCTGTGAAAGGGGAAGCAAGGGAGTGTCCATGAGCCAAAGTAAAGCAGTTTAAAAAAGAATAATGTGCCACATACATATCTTCTGATAGGAAAAATTTTTTTGGGAGCCGTAGGTTTCAATTAAGGGTTTGTCGGATCCGGACGGATATCCGAATTCAAAGAAACAGGATATTTTCGGTTAATTAAAAAAATATTTTTGCGGACAATATTTGCGGACATAACCAAATTCCAAAAAATTTTTTATGGTTGTCAGCCTTCCAAAAAAATTTTTTTGTGGAAGACGAGGGAAAAGATTTCCGGTTCGGATATCCCGGGATTTTTGAGGATCCGGCCAACTCTAGTTTCAATAGGTTTAGGTTTTGTCCGCAAAATTTGTCCGCAAAAATATTTTTTGTCCGCAAATATTCATTTTTCATCTGAATTTTAATGATAACATTTTGTCCCACTTCTTTTTCCTCATCTAGCCAAAAACACTTACATATCCCAATAAAACCCCCTCAAAATTTTACAAAAAAATATCTGGCATTTTTTTCTGTTTTTCTTTGTTTCCGGTTGGAAGGAACAACAAAAAAAATTTGAGGAAATTAAAAAAGAAAAATAGCCCCTTAAAAAATAAATTGCCAGTTTTACAACATTTTGAGAGACCCACAAAATCACGCAAAAAAAGAGACATGCTTGAAAAAAAAATTTTTTTTTTTAATTTTTATGTGCCAACTGGATACGATATAATTGTAAAAATGAAAAATGACACATTTTATAAATATCCTTGTCTTTTAAAAAGACCGACAGAAAAAAAAATATTTTTTAAAAATGCCCACATTTATAAAATTAAAAAAAAATTTTTTTTTGAAACATTAGTGATGTAGGGATAGTAAAATTTAAAAAAAAAAGACGAAAAAAAACGAGCTAAATTTTTTTAAATCGTGCAACACTCAAATTTCAAATTTAATCCCCCCTCCCTTCTCAATTAATTACTCTTGATTAATTAGTCCCTCAATTAATTTTCCTCCCCCTCGAGTACCTATTTATTAAAGATCGAGCTTCCCCTGTGTTAAGTTTTCAGACCTTGAGATCATTTCTGGAGTCAAGACTCAAGGCATTTTCAGTAGGGTTGTTCCCCGACGGGGGGGGGGGGAGGGCCACGGGGAAAATTTTCGGGGAGTCAGCGCCACGGGGGGGGGGGGGGGGGGGGGACGGGGACGGGGAACAACCCTAATTTTCAGCGTTCCTTGATTCTTCCTTGACTCAAGGTCAGGAAAAAAAATTACCCATAGTATGTTTTAAAGAAGATACTGTTAGTCTGTTTGTGTGGACGATCCTCCCATTCTATCAAAAGTCACCCCTACCTTCCCTTGTTAATTTTTTTCGACAAATCCTCCCCACTTCCTCTTGGGATCATCCCCTCCTCATATTTGAATAAAAAAGTTTTGACACAAGATATATATTTATTTTTATATAGTATTTTTTAGTGCTTGTTTGCCCTCATCTTGTCCTTCCTTTTTTCTAATCCCACGAGAATTATTTAAAAAAAACGGGTCATTTATTTATATGTGTCAGCACCTCTCTCCCTCCAATTTTTTTTGACACTTTTTCCCAAAATTCTAAGGGTTATCTATCAAAACTTTTTTATTTTTTCACACCATTTTTGCATATTTTTTGTCTCCATAACTTTTGAAATCCCTTAGGGGAAAAATATTTTTATTTATTTTATGTCCCACTTCCTTCCTCCTTTTTTTCAAAAAATTCAAGAAATAACCTTTTTTTAAAAAAATTTGTCAGCCACCAACTCCCCTTCCCCTGATTTAACTAAAAAAATTAAATAAAATAAGGTCAATATCTTCGTTGAATTAATTTTTTATCCAACAGGATAACAAGAAAAATTAAAAAAATTTTTTTAAGAAAAAAAAGTCAGTTTTAAAAAGGGCACAAGAAAAAAAAACAATTAACCGGAGAAAAATTTTTTAAAAAAATTCAAAAAAAATTGACTAGTTTTAAAATCTCCATCCTATCAAAAAAATTTTAAAATCGAAAAAAAGTTTGGAGATATTTTTTGAAAAAAGGATAAGACAGAAATTCCAATTTTTTAGAAACAAGTCTTAAAATTTTTGTTAGAAGCTAAAGAAAAGGAAATAAAAACGGCTGTGGGAATGTGACAATTCCGGACGATGCTTCCGGAGAAGACAGGTTTAATACAACAAGTCAGCAATTCTCTCATCTGGAATTGTCACCTCCACAACTGTGGTAATACTAAAAAAAACTAATTATTTTCTAAAAAATACAGTCAAACCCTCGATATAATAAACCCCTCGATTTTTAATAAACTTTTCGGAATAAAGAATAATTTTTGATCGGGGCTAAAGTATAACGAGATTTGACTAATATGTAGAAATAAGGCAAGAGTATTATTTAGAAAGAAAATGCAAAATGACAACAATAACAAAAAAGAGAGAGATGGCAGTTGAAAGAAGGCAGTTTTTTTAAAACAAATTTTAGAAAAAAAAATTTAAAAGACAGAAAAATTTTTTGAGTAAAAATCCAACAAATTTATAGAGTAAAGTCGGACTCCTCAATTTTTTTGAAAATTGGAATAATCCAAAAAAAATTATGAGTGTATCTAGAATTAAAGGAGGATATTTAAAAAACGAAATCCGACAGTAATCTATAGAGAAAAAAATAAAAATAAATTTGGGTAGGAAAAGAAAAAAAATTTTTTTTAATTAAAAAAATATTGGTGCTATAAAAAATTTAAGAAGAAAAACCTTCTAAAAATCTCCTAAAAAATTTGCTAAAAAATTTTTTTTATTGTTGTTGTGTTAGAGAAGTACTAGTACAATTTCTATTAATTTTAGGGCTTAATAATCTAATTATTTCTTGAATTGATATTTTATTATTATTATTATTATTATTAGAAACAAATATTTGTTGTTTTTGTTGCTGTATTGAAGACCATAATGTAGGGGATAATAAAATTGGTAGAGTGGGAAGTTGTGGTAATGGAGATTGTAAATGTAGTTGGTGGAGTTGTTGGGAGGATTGTTGTAGAGGAGGAGGTTGTTGGGGTAGAGGAGGTTGTTGCGGTAGATGTGAAGATGATAGAGGAGGTGATGAACGTGTTAATTGCTGGGGAGATGGTAGATAAGGTTGGGGCTGTTGTTGGGGTTGTTGGGGCTGTGGCGGGAGTTGTGAAGGTTGTAAATGAAGTTGTGAGGATTGAGAAAATTTCGGAGGTTGTTGCGGAAGTTGTTGTGAGGATTGTGAAAGTTGTAGAGGCTGTAGGGGAGATTGTTGTAAGGGAGGTAATAATGAAGGAAAAATAAAAGAATTATTATTATCAGTATTAATTGTTGAATTATTAATATTATAAAATGATGTTGATGATAGTTGCTCAAAAGAGCTAAACAAAAAATGGAAAATTTTAAAAAGAAAGAAAATTTTTAAAAATAAAATCGTAACGCATAAAAAATGTCAAAAATGGTAAAAAAATTTTCAGTCGGACAAAAATCCCCAGAAAATAAATTTCTCGTACCATTAAACTCCCCTTTCCTTCCAAATAAAAATTTAAAAATCCCCCTCCCACCTCCAAAAAATTTTTAAAAAAAATTAACCAACCTCTTTTTCTTCTTCTTCAGCTCTCCTTCTCCACTCCCACCACTTCCAATTTCATATTTATGCCTTCGTTGTGTTGCAAATAAAAGTTGATGATCCGAAAGTGTTTTTCTTCTTTTAGGTAAATGAATATTTGTAGCTGTTGTATTTGGAGCAGTAGAATCTGTTGTATTTCGTCTTCTAATTTTTCCACAACCAAAAATATTTGCGTGCATATTTAAATTTAGTGAATGACGGTTTCTAGAAAAATTTGGAAAAAAAATTTTTTAAAAAAAATTCTAGAAAAATTTTAAAGTCCCAAGTCTAGTCCAAAACGTTATAGAAATTAATAGTTTCAGGGATCCCAAAAGTAAAATAGTCAAAAAGTTTGGAAAAACAGGGAATGAACCACAAAATGTCTGAATTTTTTGGGAATTAAGAACTGTCGGAAAAAAAAATTTTTAACAGGAAAAAATCGAAAAAAAAGCTAAAAGAGTGCCTAACACACAAATAAGGAAAAGTTCCCTCTCACTCGAAAAAATTATTCTTGAGGAAACAAAAAACCCTTTTGAGACTAATTTTGTATGGCTAGTGAAATAGAAACAAAAAGAAAATTTTTCTTCCCGCAAAAAATTTTTTTTCTAATTAAAAAAATTATTATAAACCTGCTTCTCCGTGAAGAAAATGCTCTATCACATCCACTGACCGTACAAAAATGAATTTCTTTCAAATGAACAGCGCTGTTGTGTATTTTGAGTGCTCCTTTATCGCAATAAGTCTTTGAAAAAATTAAAAAAAAATTTTAAGATTTTCAAAAAAAAATTTCAAAAAAATTTTAAAAATTTCTAAAAAAAATTTCAAAATTTTTCAAAAAAATTTTTAAAAAACCTTTAAACAAATAGGGCATTGAACTCGTCTCTTTCCTCCTCCTCCACCACTTCCCCCTTCCTTCAAAACAATTTCTCCACCATTTAAACTACTATTATTACTTGTAGTTGTCCCTGTAGACAATGAGGATGATCGACGGTGGAAATTTAGCAAATTTTGATGATCATATTTTTCTTCTTCGTCTTCCACAATTTCTTCTTCAATATTCCTCACCTCCTCATCCTCTTCAAATGAAGGTTTTGTTTCTTCTGAATCAGTCATTTTCTTAAATTAAAAAAATTTTTTTAATAAAATTTTAAGAAAAGAGCAGGCCAATTTACCACCGAGCTATAACTTCGTTCATAATTGTCGACTCCGGGACGCCTTGGTATGACTCAAATCAACTCCTCAAGGCGCAACGAACCATACCAAGGCGTTCCGGATTCAAGAATTTTAAACGAAGTGTTATAGCTCGAAGGTAAATTGGCCTCATGGTGCATCTGGGCGTATACTTGAAAAATATCCAAAATTATTGCGGACCAAATTTTGCGGACAAAAATTGCGGACAAAAAAAATTTTTTTTAATTTTAAAAAAATCCAAAAAAAAACTTTAAGAAACCTCAATAATTCCATTCAAACTTTCTTGAGAAAATTTCTTTTCCCTTTCTTCCTCCTTATCTTCGTCTTCCTTTTGTTCTGTTGCAGTTGTTGAATTTATCAAGTTATTACAATTTTGATCAGTCTGAAAATGTTGTTGCTCGACTACAGGGCCATTAGTTGCTTCATAGGATGTTGAAACTTAAAATTGGATATTAAAACTTCTTCCGTTGTCCGTATCCCTTTTTAAAAATAAGAAAGGAGAGCCCAGCCCTGATTGAAAAAAGCCATATCCCAATCACTCTAGAGGTCAATCCCTATTGGTCAGATGACCAAGCATGGTGGACCCCCTTGTAAAACCCCCAAATTACAAAAAAATCCCCAATTTCCCTGATTTTTCTGGAGGGCCCATCTCTGACATATTCCTGGGAAGCGATCACTCGAGAGGGCAATTCCCTAGTGGTCAAGTGACCCTAGAGGCAGGCGTGAGCCCCGTGGAAAACAACCCCCAATTATTAAAAAAAATCCCCCAACTTCTCTCATTTTTCTATTTAAAAATAATTTAATTAAACCTCCTCCATTATTATTAACATTATTTCCTCCAGCAGACACAACTAAAGCCAAAAGGCTGTGTAATGCACATTGCCTCAATTGTGAAATTAATGAAGTAAATTCTGGTGACAAAAGAAGAGATGCTGATTGAAGTAATTGAAGTTCTAAATGAAGAGGGACACATTGCCATAAACCAGTTGAATAATTCTTAAAAGAAATTTTTTATTATTTTTTTATAAACAAATTAAAGGGACAAAAATTTCAAAAAAAAATTTCAAAAAACATTAAATCTAGAAAACATTATTTTTGGTTAAGTGCAAGTGTGTTATGTTCTGAAGGCAAGGTGGGGTCGGGTTCGAACCCTTTTGAGTCCCTAAAATTATTTAACACTTTCTAATGAATATTGAAAATTTTTTGACAAAAATTAAAAAAAACCATATTTTTGGTTAAGTGCAAGTGTGTTGTGTTTTAAGAAAAAGTGGTGTCGGGTTCGAACCCTTTTGTGTCCCTAAATTTTCTAACACTAATTAAATGCTATAAAAGCTTCCAAACGAAAAATAGAACATTTTAATCAACCAAAAAATTTTTAAAAATTCAAAAAAAACCAAATAGCCTCTTTGATAATCCTCCAAAGTCCACCCACAATTTAACAGTAAAATTTCAATTTCTTGTGAAGACAAATGTTCAAATACTTTGTCTAATAATATCTAAAATTCAAAAAAATAATTAATTTTAAAAATAAAAAACAACTTTTAATCTAACAGGAATTGCATGAAAACTTTTTAATAAAGCACATAATAAAGGAGATAAACGTTGGGCTAATAAATTTGTTGTTTGTTGAGTTGTTGTTGTTGTTGTTTGGGAAGGCTGGGGAGAAAAAATAAAAATTGAAGAATTTTTTTCTTGTTGTTCTCGTGATGAAGAAATATTGTTGTCAGTCATAATTTTTCATCGAAAAAATTTTTGGACAAAAAAATCAAAAAATAATATTTGTGGTTAAGTGCAAGTGTGTTATGTTTTGGATGGAAGGAGGTGTCGGGTTCGAATCCTTTCGTGTCCCATAATTTTTATAATAGTATTTATGTGCTATAGAAAATTTCTAATCAAAAAAAAATTAAAAAATTGTCAGAAAAATTTTTTTTTTTCGAAAAAAAATTTAAAAAATGATTAGAAAAATAAATAATAAAAATTCCAAAAAAAAAATAAAAATGTGTATTGATAAGAGCAAAAAATTGTCTTTTAAATTAAAGACTAAAAATCATACACACCCCTTAAAAATATGAAAATTAAATTAAAAAAAAATTTTAAAAATTTTTTAAATTTTTTTGAAATATTGAAATTTTTTTGAAAATTTTTCAAAATTTTACGAAAAAAAAAACTAAAAAAAAATTTTTTAATTTAAAAAATCCAAGAAAGCACCAAAAATAAAACAAAAATAAAAAAAAATTTTTACAAGACTAAAACACATACTCAAAAACAAATATTTTTGTAAAAATATATTTGACATTCTTTGAAAAAAATAAAATAAAATGAATCAACACACACAAACAAAAATGATTAGAAAAATTGTAAAAATTCTGAGAGATGAGACGAGAAAAAAAAGGTAAAAAATAAGTGATATTTTCTCTTCTTAAAAAAATGTATTTTTAACATTAAAAATTGTTCTAGAAAAATAATAGCAATAACCCCCCCCCCTTTTTTTTTAGATCAAAAATGATATGCTTTTCCTCCTACCTTTCTCCCTTATTGGACGTTTAAAAAATTTTTTTTCCTTTTAAAAAAATATTTTTGAATTATTAAAATATTTGTTATTGTCCCTAAGAAAACCTTCAAGACAAAAAAATTTTTTTGTTCTAAAATAATAAAATAAAATAGCAACACGATTTTTTTAACCCGAAAAATGAGGTAAGGTGATTCTCCCCCTTTTCCCCTCCAAAATTTTTTTCGTTTAAAATAAATATTATTGTCCCTAACCTTTAAAAGACAAGAAAAATTGTTCTAGAAAAATAATAAAATCAACCCGCTTTTTAGATCAAAAAAAGAGGGTAAGGTGAGATGCTTCTCCCTCTCTTCCCCACTTTTCCTCGTCCTTATTGGACGTTAAAAAATTTTTTTTATTTAAAATAAATATTATTATTGTCCTTAAAAGCATTTTTCTCCCCTTATTTTTCCCCTTATTTTCCTTTACACATTTTTCTATACAAAAATAAAAAAAAAATAAAACAAAAATCATGACCTTTACCTCTTTACTTGGCTTACAAAATAGCTCAACAACAACATCAAAATAAAAAAAAATTAAAACATACAAATGTGCGAACAACACACAACAAAAAATAACTTGCGCGCCTCCCTATTTTCTTTCAATTTTATTTTTTTTTCAAAAAAATTTTCTCCCCCTTTTACTTTTCCCGTTTATTGTCCCCTTTTTTACAATTAGTTCGCTCCGCTTATGGCCAATAAAAATAAATAAAAATTAAAAAATGACAAAAAATTTTGTGAAAATTTGTGAAAATTGTTTTTGAAAAGTGTGTGTGTGTGTGTGTAAATGTGGTGTGAACCTTCCTCCAAGTGAACCTTCTTTCCTCCAAGTGAACCTTTCTTCTTCCAACCCCCTCCTAATTTTACCTAACTAATGATTAGTAGTATTGCAATCACCTCCTATTTACCTCTCAACTCTCTCTCCACAATCAACATTCATTCACCTCCTTCTTCACCTATCACCGCCCATTTTTCGTCCCTTTCTTCGTCTTTTTCTTCTTCTCGTTTGTCCGTTAAGGTCCCAAGCAAAAAAATTTTTTTCCTAATTTTTTTCCACGTACTTAACCCCCCAAGTCTCTTTTCTAATAAACCCTACCACCTTTGCATTTTTTACCTCCAACCCACATAAATTTATTTTCTTTTATTTTTCATTCATTTTTTGTGTTTGCTATTTATTAGCGAGTTTGGACGACAAACATCTTTTTCTTCTTATTTTTTCAAACTTCTTCCGTCACCTTTCTACTATTTTACTATTTTATACTTTCTTATATCAAACATTTTTTTTCATTCATTCATCAACACAACCACTTCTTTCTCTTCATTTTTCTTCTCTCCCTTCCGATTTTCCGCCCTCTTGGACGTCTAGGCAAAAAATAGTGATTTGTCGCATCTCAATTCACCTTCCTTCTTCCAACCTTTCACTTTTTACACTCCTCTTTTTTCTTTTTTTTTGCTTTTCTAGATCTAATTTTGAGCTAATTTTTCCTCACTATTAATAGCACACCAAATGCTCCCAAGAAAAATATATTTATTCTTAGAACAGGCATGTCCTCAAAAAAACCTACTAACCTTTCCATGCATCTTCCTCCCCTACCTCCTAACCCCCTCTTCCTATTCTCCTCTCCGGATGTCATTTTTTCTAGGTCCTTAATCATCCATTCATTCCTTCTTTTCAGCCCAAAAGTAAGGTCAATTCGGCGCTTTTTCTCTCTCTTTATGATTTTGGAGGAAAAAAGCCCACCATATTCCTCTAGGAAGAGGACCCTTCCCCTTTCACTTCTAAAACCCCAACGTCCAAACATACACAACAACAATCAACTCGTTATCGCCCCAGTCCTCCCCTCCCAATCATTCGCCTCATTCACCTTTATAAAAACGACCTAGACCCCCTTCACCCTTCCTATTAATTTACAAAATAAAAAGACGTCTTCTTCTTTCCTATTTCTACTAAAAAAAGCTTCCAAATGGCGACAATTGTCATATCATTTTTTGGGGTGAACACACACACATACACACACCACGTAAAAATAAAAAAGAATTTATTTCTCCTAAAGATAATCATTCAAAAAAGAGTAAAAAAAAGCACTTTTATTTATTTTTTCTTCAAATTCTTTTTTTATTTTTTCATTTTTAGCCTACGCAAAATTACTTGAATCTCCCCCTACAATTAGATATCCTCTCAAAAACTTTTTTTTTCTCCTTCCATGAGCGTCAATCAACAAACAAAAACAAAAAGAGGTGATTATTTACAAAGGTAAAGAGTGTAGGGAAAGGTCCCTCACCTACCCTCTATTTTTCTTTCAAAAAAAATTTTTTTCTAAAATTCGTTTTATACTTGAAAATATTGGAATAAGTTGTTGATTAAAAAAATTCAAAAAAAAATTTTTTAAGCAAAAATCAAGCAAAAAAATTTTTGTAGGAAAGACGAAGGACAATTAAAGCCAAAAAAGCCCCTTTTTATTTTTGTTTATTTTTTAACACTTCCACAAATTAAAATTTATTCATTAAAACTTCACTAGTAATTTATCAGCACCCACAACCTAAAATCTCTAATATTAAAAAACATTAAAAACACCTCTAAACCTAAACCTCACTAAAAAAAGTCTCTAAACCAAAAATTTTTAACACACACCATCTCCTTAACACACAAATAAATTAGCAGAAAATTTATTATTTTATATATCATTTGCCCAAAAATATTTTTTTTTTCAAAAAATAAGACAAAACAATAAAAATTGGTTAAAATGCGTGTCTCCTCTCCCTCCCTTTTTTTTAAAAATGTCAACAGTTGTTATTGCGTGAACTCCCCAAAATAATAATAATAAAATAATTTTTAAGAACCATTAAACTTTTTTTCTCCAAAAAAAAGACCCGAACGTCATGTGTTTTTGTTTTGAAAAATTAAAAAAAAAAGTTAAAATTAGAAAAAGGATTGGAATTCGAAAAAGAAATTTTTTTGAGGTGAAAATATAACCAAAAAAATAATTTGAAGAAAAAAAAGTAAAAAAATAAATTTTCTGCTATTAAAAAGGATTTTTATTCTACAACATCACTCCAACTTTCACAAAACTCAAATAAAGGAGATTTCAAATCAAACTGGAATATTTTCAAAAAATTTTTTTTAACCCGTAACATTAACAAGGCTTATCCTTCCATTAAGACTCATACCCTTTCATTATTAACCTTATTTACAAAAATCAAAAATAAACCTAAAAAAATCTCATTCTCTTCCGTTACATTTAGCCCTCCTCACAAACCTTTTGTGACCTTTCCCTATGACCCGGACCCCTTTTCCCCTTATCCTAACAAAAAGTTTGGAAAATTTATATTCTTAAAATTTATCTAACAATAAAATAACAATTTTAAAAAACCTGAAACATTTTGCTTTTATAAAAATCCTTCAAAATTTTTTAGCCTTTTTAGTTTTCCTTCCTTTAATCATCTCAATACTTGTATTTTCAATTTTTCTTTTAGTTGCTCCATTTCTTTTCTTCTTATTCTTGGTTGGTGACTTGATTGGAACTTCTTCTTCTTCTTCGGTTTCTTCTTCACCCTCCTCCTCCTTCTCTTCCTCCTCTTCTTCTTCCTCTCTTATTTCTTTTTCCTCCTCTTCCTTTAATTTTCTCTTTTTATTCTTCAATTTCTTTGAAGACTTGGTTGGAACATCTTCTTTTTCAGGTTCTTCTTCCACTTCTTCAACCTCCTCCTTCTCCTCCTCTTCTTCTATTTTTTCTTCCTTCTCCACCTCTTCCTTTACTTTCCTTTTTTTATTCTTCAGTTTCTTTGGTGATTTGTTTGGGACTTCTTCTTCAACATGTTTAAACTCATTTTCTTCTTCAGCCACTTCCTTCTCTTCTTCCTCTCCTCTTTTTTCTTCCTTCTCTTCCTTTACTTCCCCCTTTACCATCTTTCTCAATTCTTCCTTTATTTTTTCCATTTTTGTTTGAACCTTTCCTTTTCTCAATATTTTTTGAATCAATTCAGCATTTAATGGCTTCATATCATCTTCCTTTTCCCATTCATCCTGTTCTGTAGGATACAAAACTTCTTCACCACCTTCAAAAAAAATTTTTTTTGAACCCTTTTCTTAAAAATTATAAAAAAATACTCTTCTTTTCCACTGTAGTAACCAATCCATCAGCCCTTACTTTGACTTCTAATCCGTCTGGAAGGGTAGAACATTCTCCAACAATTTCAACAAGTTCGGGCTCTGGAGGCAATTCAAAATTTATTTCGTTGGAAGAACCTAAAAAAAAGATTTTTTTGAAAAATTTATATTCAAAAATTAAATAAAATAAAACCAAAATCAACATAAACAGGCAAAGAAACATTCACAGCTGCTAAATAAACCGATCTTATATTTATTGAACCACCAGGAAAGTCTTCCAAAAGTGAAGAAATAATAGCTGAAGCATTTGATTTGAGATGTTTAATTTTTTGATTTAAATTTCCAACACTGGAAAAAAATTAAAAAATAATTTTTAAAAATTTTTTTTGTTTTTTTAATTTAAAATTTATTAGAAAAATTTTGAAAAATAAAAAAAAATATTTAGAAAATTTCCAAAAAAATTTTGGAAAAAAAATTTAAAAAAAATTTTGAATTAGAAAAATTTTAGAAAAATCAAAAAATGTTTTCAAAACATCCAAAAAAATTTTTCAATTTTCAAAAAAAAAATTCTTAAAAAATCTCAAAAAAATTTTCAAACCGAATAGTAATTGCATCATTCATTGGCATAAAAAATATTAAAGTTTGATTATAAGCTTCTTCAATTCTTTTAGAAAAATTTTGTTCAGATTTGATTAGAATTGGACGACTAAAAAATTTAGAAAAATTATTTTAAGCTGTAAAATAAATTCCAGGCAAATTTTTTGGTTAAATGGATTTGTCTTGAGTTATAAAGAATATGAATAATTTCTATCCCAGAAATGGAATTTAAATCCTTAGAAAATTAAAAAAAAAAATTTCTAATATTATAAAAATATTCAAAGGCTTTGTGTCTTCTGTAGGGTTGTTCCCCGACCGGGGGGAGGGTGACGGGGAACAATTTTCGGAGAAGCAGCGCCGCGGGGGGACCGCTCTCAAATTCCCGACTTTCGGAATTTGAGAGAACAACCCTAGTCTTCTATTACCTACATTCCCTACAAGGGGATAAAATTCGGGTAAAATTCTTTTTAACATTTTAAACGTTTCTTAAAACTTCAAAAAATAAAAATTTTAAAATTTACCGTGAAGGTCTTTTAAACAATTTTCCCATAAAATAATCCACTTTTTTAGCCAATTTATAATCAACAAAAAACATATCATAAAGATTTGCAAGCTTAACACGATCCGTGACTTCAGTATATTCACGAGTTAATTGTATAAAAGTCAAAATCTAAAAAAATATAAAAAAATATTTTTAAATTATAGAATTTTGCAACGAATCTGATTTATAGATAATTTAAAAATTAGACAGGCTTCCATTAAAGATACTCTTTCTTGAAATATTATAATTAGCCAGGCAATAGATAAAGAGCTGGGAAGGGCTGGAAGGCTGGGAAGGGAAGAGGGAAGGAAGGGAAGGGAGAGGGAAGGAAAGGAAGTGGAAGAGGAGGGAAGTGGAAGAAGGGAAGAGGATGGAAGAAGGGGGAAGGGAAGGCTTAGAAGGGAAGTGGAAAGAAGGGAAGAAGGGGTAAGGGAAGGCTGGGAAGGGCCCCTCCGCATTTTTAAAAGCAAAATGAGGAAAAATTTAAGAAAATAAAAAATGAAAGTTCTAAAAGGAAAGTAGGAGGAAGAGATCCCATCCATGAAAAGAAGAGTATCTCCCCCAAGCGATGATCCCAATTTAAGGTAGCTCTAGTTATAAGGTTGATTTAATCAGTTACAAAAGGTATCCGAAAAACGAGGTTCGCTGACCTCACATCCCTTTTAAAAACGAACTTCAATCAAAAACCGAATTTTCTAACATAAAGTCTAAAGAAACCTTTGTATAATTAACTCCAGAAATAAGTCCATAATTTTCACGTAAACGTTCCTCCCATTCTCTCGCTTGTTTATCAACATCAGGATCTGTTTGTGCCTTTTTGGAACGATCAAGATCTGGCAGAATTAGACAAACAGAAGAATTTGAAGGATTTCTGTCTGGATAAGGCTGCGTACTGAAAAATGGAAAATTCTTTGAGATTAAAGAATTAAAAAAAATATACATAAAAACGCATTGATTCCCACTCTTTTTAAAGAACGGCCGCTTATATTTTACAGTCAAATAAACCATCTTTTTCGTATCAGGGAACAGAGGCAATTTTTTCTCCTGTTTATGCCCATCATATTCTTGAAGCGCATACAAGGCCAGAGGAATCTAGGTAAAATCAAATTAAAATCAGATTGATAAAACAAACTTGTGCATCAAGTTCAGAAGTAATTTCATCAATAGAAGCCATTTTCTTTTACTGAAATCTTAACTGGTTCGAAAAATAAAAGAAAAAAATTAAACGACACATAACGTTTAAATTAAGAAAAAAAAATAAAATTAAAAAGAAAAAAAAAAGTTTATTTAAATTCAAAAAAGAAAATTTAAAAAGAGCAAGAACCAAAAAGATCTCTTAAAAAGAGCAAGAACCAAAAAGAAGATAAATGAAATTTCTCAAAATTAGGTATCTAAAATAAAAAACCCTTCAATTCCTGCTTGTTTAGAAATTAAAAGGTTTCCACGGAAATATCTTCAAAAACCCTTAAAGTCATCCCCCAATTTTAACCTTCTTTTTTAATGGACCACAACTCATCAAATCATCCAAACTTTCATCTGAATCAGAATTTTGTTCATTATTAACATTTGAGGATGTAGATGCTTCTTGTATATTTGAAGATGTTGAAGGTCCCGTAAATTCTTCTACTTGTGTAGTAACATCATTGCTTTCAACTTCAACATCAGCCTTTTGTTTTTCTTTGAGTGCCAAAACACCTGAAATATTGTGGTTAAATTAAAAATTTAAAAATTAATTTATAGGAATGTGTGGTTTATAGGACAATAAGTCTCATCGCTTTATTAAAAACAGAAAATCAGACAAACTTATCCTAGGAATAAAAAAAGAAAGAAATTAATTATTAGATCCTTCTTACTTACTCATTCTTACACAAGGTTGTTATTCGACCAACAACCCCATCACGGAATCACTTGTAGGTTCGGATGGGGAAAACTTCAACGGCCTTATAGGAGTACCTGGACCTTTCAATTTGAAAAAGAGCCAACTTATTTTAAGACGAGGACCTCCTATCTAGGAACTTAATCCCAGCCAAAATATAAAAACAATAACATCTGAACTCAGCCCAGAACAATAAAACTTATTACAAACCTGCCTCAACTGCATCCTCAACCACATCAAGCACTGTATCCCTCTTTCTTAAATATTCCTGATCAGTAAATTCATGTTTTGTTTTTGCTCCATTTTTTAATTTGTCAATTTTTTCCTCCCTAAAATAAAAAGTTAAAATGTTTTTATTAACAAATTAAACAAACTCTTTCTTTTTCTTCTCCTTTTCACGTTGCTCCTTCTTTTCAATATATTTTTTGAGACGTTCTTCTTCTCTAACATCAGCAAGACGACGACCAGCCAAATTTCGACACATTAACTGATTGTTTGATTTGTGGATACGAAAACTTCGGAGTAACGAACCAAAACCTATAATTAGAAAGTTTATTATCAAGAGATTTTTAGATGTCTGTAGATTGACCCTAAGAGCACCAGAATCTGACCCTAAGAGCTCCTGTATCAGTTATCAATCAATACCTTAACAAGGTAGATTTTCATTGTTTCATCAGACAGACTAGTAAAAAAACATCGGCCATATATCAGTAAAAGACCAAACCTAAAGGATCCGCTGATACTTAAGTGTAGTTCCAAGGGCAGGCTAGCATAATCGTGCTTAAAAGCAGCATATAGGTATAACACCAACACCCACCACACCAAAACATAGCCTAAAATAAAAATAAACCTCCTTTCCCGCCGCACAGTCGAAAATGCAATTGTATCAGTTTCCCTTTTTGAATTGTTCCAAGTTCCTCGTGTACACTTCCATCGCATTCCAAAAAGTATGCTTCGGGAGGAAGAGAATTGACCATATTAACCATTGCATTATCATCATGAGTAAAATGGCTACGGATAAGCATTTTTCAAGTCTTCTGAATTGAGTTATAAAAGCTAAAAAGTTTAGACTTCGATTACCTTCAGAAATCATTAAAATATTAACTGAATAAACAAATACAAAAAAACCAAAAATTAAACAACTCATCAAGTCAATTTATTGAAAATGGCCAAACAATAAAATGTGTGTATGATTAAATAAAATGTCAAAAAACAAAAAAATAACGACTACGACAACATAAAAAAGAATTTTTTATTGACTCCCTTCTTTTTTAGCAGCCTCTTCTCCCTCATCTTGTTTTGCAGAAGAATCAGAAGTTTGATGTTGTTGTTGGTTTTTCTCAGCCATTTTACGATATGCAGCTTCAAAAAGCTTCAATGACTTCTGTTGTAATTCATTAATCCCTTCGCGAACTTCAGAAGCTTTGAGAGCTTCCCGATTCGTCAACTTCTGCTTAAGGTTCTCGCAACGTTCTTTAACAACTTTGACCTTTAAAAAAAAGTAAAAAAATGCCAAAACATGTAAAAACCTCATCCTCATTCAACTGATCCGCATATTCAGCCATTTTTGTTTCCGTGTCATGCAAAACAGATTCAGCATGGTTAATAGCTTCAATAACTTCCTTCTTCTCAGCATCCTCAGCAGCATGTTTTTCAGCATCACGGACCATATTCTCTATTTGATCCTTAGAAAGTCCACCAGACGATTGAATAACAACTACAAAAGAAAAGAAAGTCAAAAATTATAAAAAATCAAAACCTTGCTGCTCTTTTCCAGTACCACGATCACGTGCAGAAACATTAACAATACCATTGGCATCAATATCAAATGTTACCTCAACTTGTGGAACACCACGTGGAGCCGGAGGAATACCAATTAAGGAAAATTGTCCGAGAAGTTTATTGTCAGCAGCCATTTCACGTTCTCCTTGCAAAACTTTGATTTCAACTTGAGTTTGACCATCCGCAGCAGTCGAGAAAACCTAAGCAATGAAGATGTGAAAAAACAAAACGAACTAAAAACCTGGCTTTTCTTCGTAGGAATTGTTGTGTTTCTTCCTATAAGCTTTGTAAATACACCGCCCAAAGTTTCAATACCAAGAGAGAGTGGAGTAACATCAAGCAAGACAACTTCTGTAACATCCCCTGCAAGAACACCAGCTTGAATAGCCGCGCCAATAGCAACAGCCTCATCAGGGTTGACAGCTTTACTTGGTTGTTTGCCAAAAACGTCTTGAACAGTTTGTTGAACCTGATATGAAGAAAAATATTCACAAGTTATCAAGAAGTCAAAAAACCTTTGGCATTCGAGTCATTCCTCCAACAAGCAAAATTTCACGGATATCTGATGGTTTCACTTCCGCGTCATGCATCGCCTTCTTGCAGGGTTCAATAGTTCTTTTGATAAGATCCGCGGTCAATTGCTCGAACTTCGAACGGGATAATTTTACGTGCATATGCTTGGGTCCACTGTTGTCAACGGTGATATAAGGCAGGTTGATGTCAGTTTGAGCTGTACTGGAGAGTTCACATTTTGCCTTCTCTGCCGCCTCACGAACACGTTGCATAGCCATTGAGTCCTTAACATGATAACTAGTAGAAAATATCAATTGAAACTCAAAAAACCTTAGTCAAATCAATCCCATTCTCCCGTCGAAATTCAGCCACAAGATGATGAACAAGAGCGTGGTCAAAATCTTCTCCCCCAAGGAAAGTATCGCCATTAGTAGACTTGACCTCAAAAACACCCTTTTGCATCTCAAGAATGGAAACATCAAAAGTTCCTCCTCCCAAATCGTAAACGGCAATGCTTAAAAGAGAACTTTTAGAACCAAAACAAAGCTAAAAAACAAACATTTTGCTATCCGCAACATCCAAACCATAAGCTAATGCAGCAGCTGTGGGTTCATTGACTACACGCAAAACTCGAAGTCCAGCAATCTGACCAGCATCTTTAGTAGCTTGACGTTGAGAATCGTTGAAGTATGCAGGGACAGTGATGACCGCATTTGGGGCGCTTGTGCCCAGATAATTTTCTGCAGTCTCCTTCATCTTCATTAAGACAAAAGCACCAACTTGTGAAGGGGAATAGAGCTTGCCCTGCGCTTCCACCCAAGCATCTCCATTAGTAGCCTTGACAATTTTGAAGGGAACGACTTTGCTGTAAATATAAAGGAGATTAATTAGAAAGAAACCAAAAAGCGTACATATCCTTTTGAACTTCTGGATCGTCAAATCTTCTTCCAATCAAACGCTTGGTCGCATAAAGAGTATTTTGACTATTTGTAACAGCTTGACGACGAGCAGGAGCACCAACTAAGCGTTCACCATCCTTTGTAAAAGCAACTACAGAGGGAGTAGTACGAGAGCCTTCTGCATTCTCAAGAACCTTTAAATTAAAAAATAGGCTATATAAAAGAACGGAGTGCCCAGTTATGCCAAAACGCTGTAATGTCAAACCCTCCAAGCCGCTGTAATGCCAGCCTGTTAATGCCCACTCAACTAGGCTGTCTGGCAAATAACGGGCAAAAAAGGCGGGAAGGAACCCTCTGAGGACCTAGACTTGTGCTAAGTCACTGAGTCATAAGCATTTCGGCTTTTTGACATTACAGGATCACATCATAGACAAAAATATTCAAAACAAACCTTAGCCTGTTTCCCTTCCATAATAGCCACACAAGAATTTGTTGTCCCCAAATCAATCCCAATAACAGGGCCACGAATAGCATCACTCCTAAAATGATAATAACCCAAATCGTTTGCAAGAAAGTGAAGAACTTACTTAAATCGCTTTGCCACGAGCGGAAAAGCAGATCGAAATAAGCGTTGCATTTTAATAGTTTTTAAAAGAAAATAAAGAAAATCCTCTAAAAATAAAAATATAAGGTTAACAAAGTAAATCAGATAAAATATCACGTCACCAAAATTAGGAAAACTTAACCTTCCTACAAAAATAACTTAAGAAACACACCCCAACCAAAAAAAAGAACAAATCGAACAATGTAGAAATTTCTTTTATACTATTAAAGTTCGAAATGCTCATGGACATTTCGCCAACCAAGGGAAAAATCTCACATTGTCCCATCTATTCTTCTCATCCTCAAATATATTTTCTCTCTCACTGTCTAATTCAGTTACAAATAGAAAAATTGTTAAATTTCATATAACCTAATGACATCTCGTCAGCGAAGAGAAAATATCTTTTATTGTCATATCTGCTTCACTCTCACTAATCTCTCAATTTTTCTTTCACTGTCTAACTACGTTATATTTTTATTTTACTACGCATAGGACGTTTCGGTGTTATATTTAAATACAGCTTGTTCGTAGCGAATTTTCCGACTTGAGGGATTTTCGATTTTCCCGGATTTCTTTTCTTTCAGATTTATGTTTAAGATATATTTTTCTCATAAAATCACTAAAGCTCGCTTTTTTAATTTTATATTTTTTAAGGTCGGAATAATTCAAAAATCAAATTTAATTGATCAACAATAAAATGAATGCTCACTATGTTGCATCAGCAAATGAATTTCCAATCAACATTAAAACTGCTTATGGAATTTCAAAAATACAGGTTTTTAGAATAAATTAAAGTCTAAACGGGTAATATTGAACTTGACAGACTTTATTTTTTTCCTCCCCAACATTTACAGAATGGTCAGACTTTTTCCTGTATTCCTTCCCAACTGCCCTTCTATATTTCTAGCTATGCAAAAACAATTAAGAGAAGGACTACCTTTTTCGTAGTCAACAAGTATGAGTTGTGAGAATACCCGTTTTCTCAATTAAAAAAATTGGGATGAATAAAGGAAAAATTCTGACCATTCTGTAAATATATAGGGAAAACTTGGGGAGGAAAAAATGGACTCTGTCAGGTTCAATATTACCTATGAAAACCCTCTCAAAAATTTTTTTTAAGTTTTCCAATGACGTTACTCGAAGATTAATTGCAATTTCTACATGGGATGGATTTGTTCGAATTGTTGATGTAACCAATCCTGGCTCTCCACAGGATATGCGGACTTATTATCATTCAAAATCGGTTCTTAGCTGTGCATTTATTGTAAAATTTTGAATTTTTATAGACTTAAAAATTAAGACAAATTTAAGGACTCCACCAAGGTGGTGAGCGGTGGGCTTGACGAAGTTGTTAAGGTTTGCGATTTGGAATCTGCCAGAGGTTTTTTTAAATTATTTTTTGGAATCCAATTTTCGTCCTCTCTTTTGGCTCTCTTTTTTCTTCCTTTAGAATGACAATGGTCAGATTATTGTCTTTCATTTGAATTAAAGGGCAATAAAGTAAAATTTAGGAAAGAAAAAGAATTCTGACTATTATTTGCATTCTTAAGGAAGAAAAAAGGTGAGTCCAGCCTTGGCATTACCTTAATTTCTATAATTCTGCGTTTAGTTTCCTCTTCATTTTTGCTTCATCCTCAATCAACTCACAGTCCTTAACGCATGATTCTTCGTTGTTTTCCCTATTTTTTTTTGTTCTTATTTATGTTCCTATTCTCCCCTTTCAGATTTTCCCATGTTTTTTACAAGGGAATGAAAAAATTAGGAAGGGGACGAATCTCGAACTTACCTTAATTTTATCAATTTTAATATATTTTTTAATTATAGAAACAGTAATGGGACAACATTCCAATGCTGTTAGATGTCTAGAATTTTGTAATACTATGAGGGTTGCTGTGTCTGGTGGATGGGATAATATGTTAAAGGTTTTTTTAATTAATATTTTTTACAAAAAATTTTTCTTACAATTTTTTAAATTCATGGTTTAATTAAGTCAAAGTCCTCAGTTTTAATAGGGTGGGGGGCACGGAGATAAATTTTTGGGAAGACAGCGACACTGGGGGAGGGGTGGAGGACGGTTAAAAATTTTCTTTTTTCAGGGGAGGGGGGGACGGGTAATTTTCAGAAAATCTCTCAAATTCCCCGACTTTTGGGGACAGGGCCAACCCACATTTTAGGCATAGTTGTAATTTTTGGTTTAGTGGTTTTATTCTCTGTTATATTTTTTTGA